TTGCTACCACCAGTAATAATAATAATGATAAAGGAAACAACAAGGGAAGAGAATACAACACCACCCGTTGAAACCCAGCCGGACTGAGCAGTGAACTAGCCCTTCTGGGTAACTCTCAGTTACATCCTGGGCATGACGTGCTGTGGTATGGAATACCTCTTTGGCTAGTTTGGATCAGGTGTCCTGTCTCTGCTTCCTCCTAGCTTCTCCTCCTCTCTGGCAGAGCATAAGGCTCACAAAGTCCTTGATCAGACCAACCATTTGAGCAGTAACTAAAAACATCGGTATTAATCAGCGCTGTTCCCAGGCCAAAAGTAAAAAACACAGCACTGCATCAGCTACTAAGAAGGAGAAAAAAATGTCTGCTACTGCTTAACCCAGGACACTGTGGCAGAACAGAAGAGGATGCTATTCTCAGTCCCAGTGGGCAGCAAAGCTAAGCAAACAAGTTACCCACTGAACTGAGTTCATTCACTCTTGGAAGAAAAATGCTTTTTCACTGTAGAAATGTACGCAATTATCGTCTTTCTCTCCCAGTCACATGCATACACTTCTGGCATTAATTCTGGCCTTTAGAGGATGCTTTTTATGTCCCCATGGGGCAAAAAAAAGACCTAAAGGAAAAAAAAGGAAGCTGTAAATGGACAAGCACTTCTGGCATAAAAGTGCTAAGCCACCAGCATAGAGAACAGTCTGTGACACTCCGGCCTCAAAGATTTTAAAGGATGCATCTAAGGCCATATCTGAATTATGCTGTGCTGAGCCAGCTGAGATGGCTGGCAGCAATCACTTCTTTTCTCATCCTGCATAGGGATGTAGGATGAAGTGTAGGGAACCTTGATAAAGTCTGTTGCTGACATTTAAATAATTATATATTGAAATATATAATTATATATTTATATTATTATTGAATTATATAATTATATATTGAAAGACTGAGGGAGCTGGGTCTCTATAGTTTGGAGAAGAGGAGACTGAGGGGTGACCTTATTAGTGTATATAAATATATAAAGTGGGAGTGTCACGAGGATGGAGCCAGGCTCTTCTCAGTGGCAAACAATGAAAGGACAAGGGGAAAGGGTACAAATGGACACAAGAGGTTCCACTTAAACTGAGAAGAAACTTCTCAGTGAGGGTGACGACATGGAACAGGCTGCCCAGGGAGGTTGTGGATCTCCTTCTCTGGAGACATTCAAAACCCGCCTGGACACGTTCCTGTGTAACCTTATCTAGGTGTTCCTGCTCCGGCAGGGGGATTGGACTAGATGATCTTTTGAGGTCCCTTCCAATCTCTAACATACTGTGATATACTCTGTATACAAACAAGAGAATCTGATGTTTCAGCAGTGATGGGCCTGATTAGTTTTTAATGATAATGAAGCTAGCACTTTAATGGCTTATGTTGAGCTTTTAAAGTCAGATTTTCAGTGAGCTGGTTCATGTGGAAACACAATGCTTTTATTGGCATATTCAGCTATATGAAGGTGTGTAGCTACTGCCCAAGTCTAAATTGTGCATTAAACACATGCTCCTCATTGTCTCAAGAGCAGACTTCGTTCAGGGAGCAAATGTGACCCCTTCACACCTGCACAACTGTTTCTTTCACAAATAAACCACAAATCTGAAGATGGACAGTAAATAGCATGCATCTGGATCTCTCCTGAACATTTTACAACATATCTAGTAGATTTATACATAGAAGCTGAGAAGTGCTTCTGGCTCAGTTATTTTAGACATAGCCACTGCTATTTTTCTGTCTGCTGCACTTCCAGTGAAGCGGAGTTTCTGTTCTTCTGTGATTATAGCTATGAAGCAGCTACTATTTTAGGAGAGTAATTGGTGCAACATATTGAAAGAGCATTTTTAAGATGGATATCTTACTGATATTCTTTCTTGACTTGTTGCTTTTCTAGATATTGATATCATCAGTCTGAAAAAGAGTGGATACTTTATGTGTATACTAAAAAAAAAATCTATTTCCATACAGTAAATGGAAAGTGAGAATGTTCAACTCTGCCCGGTGGCTTCAAGAAACTCACTGAAATTCATGTTATTTAACAGTGCTGTGAAGATGTGGTATTAGGAAAGCATTACTCTTGATCAGGACTACAGAGAATCGATTCCCATGTCATTCTTAAGTGCAGATAATTTGTGTGAGTTGGTGAAGTAGTATCAAGTCCTCAAAGGGGAGATGTTAAGCCAATTCAGGAAACAGGCGTAAGTTGCTCAAAAGCCAACAAAGAGACAGTGTTCTCCTACTTCCCTTGCCACTCAAGTGTGGCTTGCAGCCCTTCAAAACCAGCACCAGACATAAATAAACCAGATGGCCTATCACTGATATACTATTTATGCTTATTTTAATTAAATGGCAGGAGATAATGTGGGATTTTAGGGGTTGATTTGATTACATCAAATAAAGGTTCTTCAAAAAGAAAATTGCCAATTTACCTTCCTGTCTAGAGGTAGGTGAGAAATACTTTTTCTCTCCAACTTTATCATCATAGAATGGTTTGGGTTAGAAAAGATCTTGAAGATAATCTAATTCCAACTGCCCTGCCATGGGCAGAGATTATTTGAATAAAAAATATCTCAAAATTGTTCCCATACCCCAAGAAAGACATCTAGAAACTCACATTAAGATATTGTGATAGATCAGTATATTTAGTGTCACACTTGGAGACCACTCCCATAAGGGATTTGGGTTAGAAGCTGAGACAAAGTGTGTTTCGTAGGCAGTTAAATGTCCCCCCATTTTAAAGGCTGTAATAAAACATGACACCTTTGGGATTAAGAGCTTGTGTTTTGCTCAGATCAGGTCAGCATAGACAGATTTTAAAATTCTAAGTAACAGGAGCAACGAAACCTGATTTCCTAAAAATGTCTCTCGTGGCTGGGTTTACTGGCACCTTACAGTGTCAGTTCCAGCTGATATTCTTCCCATTTCCAGTGCTTGAAGCATATAGACTCTCCCATATAGACTCTCCTGTGCTTCGTAAGGGTAGAGCTCATGCTACAGTGGGCACCCCCTTTACAAGGCTGCTGAAGCTGCCTCTTCTCTGCCCCCTGGAAACTGTGTAAAACATAATACCTTTGAGACAACTACTTCTTCCAAATTTTGAATCATTCCTACAACTTCTACCGTCAGCAGACACAGATCAAACAGATACGGAGAGGGACTTTGTGTAAGTCTTGTTTCCTTCTGAAACTGGTAAAAAGGAGCTGCCATGCAGGCCCCAGTAAGACTGTGACAGGATCATCACAAGCCAGTTAATGACAGAGGATGCAAGGAAAAAAAAAAAAAAAGAAAAAAAGAAAAGAAGCATCCTTTGATCTGTTTAGTGTGTTCCCATTTTTCCTCTTCTCCCTAGCAGTAGAACTCTACCTTGCTAGTTGACATTGACTCAGTCTCACTTACAAACTTGGCAGGAAGGAGAAAATACTGATGCTTTGAATGGTGTTAGCTCATCCTGTTCTTCCCCAGCGTATTATGTTACCTTAAGCACTGAGAGAAGGATCCCTTTAGTTCTTACACTGTGGTACTAAGACATATACAGCATTTAAAATGTAATATTAATTTGCATTGGTTGCAGATGGCAGTCCATTTAGGAGATGGAGAGGGTAAATCACAAATGATGTAACAATTTTTTAAGAGTATCTTCTAACAGTGTGTCAAAGCATTCTTCTTGTACAGTGAATTAAAAGAAATCTTACCCTTGAACTGCTGAGAAAATAATTCATACCGATTTTTTTTAAAGCCTGAATCAGTCCTTTTAACATAATTTCCTGAGCTTTGAACTCATTGAGTCTTCTAATAATGTCCTTAAATGCGGGAAGGAGGTAATTTTCTCTCTCACTGCCTTTAGGGGATCATCAATCATGCATCACTCACAAGTGTTAGCATTGTACCATGGCTGCTTTTATTCAAATAAAAAAAAAAAAAAAAGGCAGCCTAATCATGCATGGAGAAAGTGTTGTAGAGCAGAAGTTTCCATTTCTAAATTGCACAGTCTTTGTGCTGAATTGCTGCACCTCCTGCAAGGCAATTTTAGTATAAAACCCTACAGTGATTCAGATCCCTAGCTACAGTAAATTTTTTTACAACCTTTCCTTCACCCACTGCCACAACACATTTCTATAACAAGCAAATTCCATGGATGTCATCAGAACAGATTTATAAATGAGTTGTACTGTGAAAGTGTCACAGAAAATGTACTTATTAAAGCAAGGGATGATGCAAGTATTGAGCTATCTGAATAAACAAGCTACTTTTATTTAAATCCCAAGAAATAGGCACCAAGATATTAAGAACTGGTTTGGCTGAGCACTTATTCTCAAGCATTTGCATATTCAGATAATTTTCAGTGTTAAACCACTGTCAAATTAATATACTAGTATTTTCCACTTGAAAAGTGGATTAGATCACACAAAATGTGATGGTCTTCATTTGAGCCCTCAACTGACTTTTCCCACATTACAAAAATCAATATTTGCTTTTCCAAAAAAGAACTGCAATTGGCGGTAGGTGATTAGCAGAAACAAAGTCTGAATACTAACTGTACTTGGTGGCAGTAAATGTGTAGGAGGAAAGCATGAAATAATTCTGAATCTCGCTGTTTGTTGAAAATAGAGTATTTCCATATTATGCATTACTTCTTTAAGGAAAATAAATCAGAGATGGAACAAAATATCCCTGGTGCTTTCCTACTTACAAACAAAGTTCTGTTTCCTAAATATACCGCTGCACAGCAAGAGACATCTCTGCTCACCACTCCAAGAACCCACAGCACAATGTGCTTGGTCAGGATCACACTCCCAAGAGCTGTTCCCTGCTTCTCTCAATCACTCTTTTACTTTCTCCTTCAGTTACTTTCACATACTTTTCCATTCAAACAACACTCTCTGAACATCATTCACTCCTTTAATATGCATTTCTAAATGATCTTACATGAACCTTTGCTGTGGGCAGTTGAATGCCCATTTTTTGGCACAAGAGACATTACTGTTTCATGAAGATGCTTATTTGTTTCTAAATGTTTGCGGGAAAGGAACACATCTTTTCCCACTATGGCTTCATTACACTTTAAACCAGACTTTTATGAGGTATATATAGTAGCAGCAGGAGGGAGCAGCCTACACTTGAGGCTAGCAGTCTCACAGAAATACTGTGCAAATACAACTTACTGCTTTCTTCTCTTTCGTGCAAGACTTGAATAACTGGCACTGCCTCAAGCCTGTCAAAAGACTACTCTGTAAATCCGTTCTCAGAAAAAAGGCAAATATAAGTAAAATGCACATGTTCACAAAGTCTGTTTTTTCACCTTTTGAACTCTGGAACAGCTTTTTAAAGCAATCAGCTGTAAGTGCAAGCGATACTCTGCTGCTACTTAGCCTCTTTTCCCAAGAAACCCATTTGCAAAATATTATTTGTTTATTTCTCTCATGACAGAAATAAGCATTAAACATGGGAAAGTTAATACACTTCATAATGATAAACCAGGAGTCTAAATGAGTACAAAAACTTGCTGAGGCGAAGACTTCAGAATGATTTTAAAGCTCTAATAGGATTCCTTGCATACATTTGAAACATATATGCACGCAAAACACTGACTCAGCACTTGTCACTTCTGTTTCTATTATTATTATGACTTTGCAAGCTTTGTCTTATTAATGAGCATTTAGTGCAGTGCTTTACCTATTGTGGGAACCACTGTATCTTTGACATGTCCGCCTTTTTTCGGAGAACCAGACCCTAATTGTTATGAAACTGCAGCTACTTAAGGTAGTACTACATGTAGCAAAAGCAACACAGAGTAGAAGATTGCATATTGACAAGACAGTCCAGCATAACACAGAAATACATATGCTACCTCAATGACCAGCAGCAATCTAGCATGGGACAAGTGTGGTAACTCCTCTTGCAAGGAAAGGAGACATTGAATTACCCCTGCTAGCATTACATAAGACTCACCTCATCACTGGTTTTAAGCACGCAAATATTTGGTCTTCTTTCTTTGCCAGCCACCCGATCATGCACATGGAGAGCACACACAAATTTTTTCCTCTTTGCAGAAGAAAAGATACACTACTGGTCACTGCACAAGGCTAGCACTATGAAAGCACTTACCCTTTCCAAGAGGGGAAGATAAAGGTAAGTCACTAAACACAGTCTTGCTTCTGTAAACACATGCCACAAAACTGGGCAAACACAGGGTAAATCTCATTTAAAGGGTAGATGAAGTATGGAAGCAGATTTTGCCTTCTGCTTAATTCTCGCTGATTCAACTTAATTTGTAAGGTCACCAGGGACAGTTTAGCTCCCATGGCTCTGTCTTTTCTCATTCCAGAGGCATATACGATGCAACACTATGCATGAGCAGTCTGGGCGGGGCTGTGCTTTCAGAGGTGCAGGCCTTTTTATTTCCTGCAGCACTCTCAGTCTCTCACAGGACATCTGATACCACTGCCACTGTTAATGCAGTACCTTGCCTGAGTATGTCACTTCTGTGTGAGAGCACAAGTTAGAGAGGTTTCCTGGAAGTCCTAGTGTAACTGTGCAGAGACTCACATGCTTGGTCTTGTAGAAGGAAGCAGACTACTGTGGCATACACAATGGGCACCTTCTCTGATCCAGATCCTTTTTCACAGAACTTCCTCAACTGTTCAAATCAAGACTTAGTAACTGACCCTGCCAGCCAGAACTGCAATATTTCAAGCTTCTTTCTTGAACGTTCAGGCTTTGCTTGGCTCTGAATTCACCTGTCAGGCAAACAAGGATGAGAAGAAAAATAATGTGAGCTGCTTAGCAGGAAGCTGTATCCATTTAAAGCAAATCTTCAAATAGTTATTAAAGTGCAACCTTAGCTTTTCCTCTGCTGCACAGAAACAGCCTCAGTGAGACAGTCACTATTGCCTATTCACAGAGCAGATTTTTTGCATTCTAATGTTTGCTTTAACGGCTGTTTCAAGCGCAGCATATAACCTGTGAACAGTTCAAATTTTGTGCCTGTGAAAGAGCTCTTACAAGCCGAAATCCCACAGCATGTTCACTGCTAAGCAACATTAAGTTCCTAGCCTCGACTTAGACTCTGATATTCTTTGTTTTCCACATTCACACTTTGATCTGCATCACACATAACTCTTTCAAGTGGTCTACATGTATAAATGCTAACTGACCACTGCCTAACCCCGAAGTACAACTACTCATCTGCCAAACCACTTCTCCTAAGAAAAGGAAATAAAGGAAGAAGGCTGATGATTGCATACCTGACCAGGTCTTGCAGATATGAGAACCGATAAAAGCATGAATATTTACAATGGGAACCTGAACAAGGGAGTGCTTTTACCATCCAGTAATGCAATAGTACTTGGGAGAACTATTCTTTACTATCTTATAGGCAGAGATTGCTGTCTGTAACAGTACTATCAAACAGATTTGATTTGATGGTTTGTGCCTGCAGGAGTTGTGAAAAGTTTGCAAAAAAAGAAGTTTTTCTACCTCCCTTGTTTCCACAAGTACCTAATGTAAGAACAATTCTCAGAAACTAAGGTGCAAATCTTACATTTTGGTTCTTTTGCCTGTTAAAGATGAACCGTCTTTTACAGGAATCAGCAAGAGCACCACTGACTGAAAAACATACTAATTGATCTGTGTTACAATGACCCTTCTCAATTTCGTATGTTCATTGTGGTTTAGGAAAAAGTACTCAGAAATTCAATAATAAACATTTCCTGAATTTAAAATTTAAATAATTGTTGAAAAAAAAATGTTGAAAAAAGTGCCACAAGTGAGATCCTCAGGAAAAATGCCAAACTAGGATCAGACTAGGAGTTATGCTCCTGTAGAGCCTCATTCCACAATAAATTAAGAGGATTTGACTTCCAGAGAGAACATGGCACAAATGACCTCTTCTTATATGCCTACTTTTTTTATTGGCAACTGACTAACAGGTTGACCTCCTTTATTCCATTAAAATTTTAACTACTTATTATTTCAGCTTATTTTTCACCAGTTCTGTTTTCCTGGAAAGGAGCATAAGTAGCATACCCATACTGTATTTTAACATCTTTTCAAAAACACCGTACTGACATGCACAAATAACATACTTCTATCGAAATCTGTTCCACTTCTTGTAGCTAGGCTAGCAGGAGTTTTTTGTTTGCTTTTTTTTAACACAGATCAAGTCATTCTTCTTGAACAGAATCATAGCCTTCTCTGCTAAAGTTTCATAAATACAAGCGAGGTACAAACAGAATATTTTCAGACATCATTAATTCCTCCACTGCCCTGCAGAAATCAACCTTTGTAAATACATCAATTACCTAGAAATATAGTGAATCTCTGCCTTGCTGAAAGGCAGGGTATTTGCGGCATGACTTGGTGTAGTGTGCAACTACCATGCTAACCTGTTGGAGACAGCTTTCACTGCCTTGGTGAACAAGCTTGAATCTTTCAATCTACCACCTTCTTCTTCCAGGTATTCCACTTCTCAACTCTAGTCCTTTCTTTGGTGATGTTTTAAGAGATAAAAAAGGCATCATCTCATCCATCCAGATGTTCATTGAGTCACTTCACTGCACCATTGGAGAAGAAGTCCACACTACAAGTACAGCATAAAATGTGAGGAAGGAACAGCATGATGAGAGAGCAGGGTTCTGCCTACAACATAGCTGCAAACTAGCTACAGCCTGGTTTTAGAATCATAGAATAGTTAGGGTTGGAAAGGACCTTAAGATCATCAAGTTCCAACCCCCTTGCCATGGGCAGAGACACCTCACACTAAACCATATCACCCAAGGCCTCGTCCAACCTGGCCTTGAACACTGCCAGGGATGGAGCATTCACAACCTCCCTGGGCAACCCATTCCAGTGCCTCACCACCCTAACAGGAAAGAATTTCCTCCTTATATCCAATCTAAACTTCCTCTGTTTAAGTTTTAACCCATTACCCCTTGTCCTATCACTACAGTCCCTAATGAAGAGTCCATCCCCAGCATCCCTATAGGCCCCCTTCAGATACTGGAAGGCTGCTATGAGGTCTCCATGCAGCCTTCTCTTCTCCAGGCTGAACAGCCCCAACTTTCTCAGCCTATCTTCATATGGGAGGTGCTCCAGTCCCCTGATCATCCTCGTGGCCCTCCAACAGTTCCATGTCCTTTTTATGTTGAGGACACCAGAACTGCACACAATACTCCAAGTGAGGTCTCACGAGAGCAGACTAGAGGGGCAGGATCACCTCCCTCGACCTGCTGGTCACGCTCCTTTTGATGCAGCCCAGGATACAGTTGGCTTTCTAGGCTGCAAGCGCACACTGCCAGCTCATGTTCATTTTCTCATTGACCAGCACCCCCAAGTCCTTCTCCGCAGGGCTGCTCTGAATCTCTTCTCTTCTCTGTCTGTTTTCACTGACACCTGATATTTGCAATGAGCAAGTCCTATACTCGTCCATCTCCCCAGTCCAGGATGCTTTCTGAGAAGTAAGAAAATATTCCGTTTCCTACATGGTTGAAAAGATATTTGAGAGGATAGGCTGTGCAACCTTTTGTTGTTGGGTGTGCAACAGCACAGCATGAGACAGGAATCAATCTCCAGTGCACAAATCTGAGTATTATTATCCCCCAAGCACACCTTTGAATGACATCTCTTTCACAGTAGCCCCTTTACAGCCTTATCCCCATCTTCTGTTCTTTTCTTCACAACTACTTTGATTCTTAAAATCTTGCTCAGCTTTCCATGGAGTACATGATGCAGGTGGAAGCCTTACCTTGCTCTTACTTTCCAAACCCATAGATTTTCTCTAGCTCAACACATTTCTCTTCTCTCTTCTGTTTCTCCTTTGCAGTCCAGAGCCAGGCTTCTTTCTGTTTCTTCACACTTACTACTCTTGCTGTAAAGACCTTCTTATCTGTAACCTGCCATCTGAAACAGATTGCCTTTTTCTCTCTACCTCATCAATTCATTCCCCTTTTTCAAATATTAATCAAAAGCATAGATTTTCTCCCTGTCCTGTACCTTTTAATTTTTTTTTCTTTGTGCTATCAGCTTTATGCCTGAATGCCTTAATTATCTCACTGTAGAATGTCTTTACACAATAACTTTCTGTAATTTATAGTCTTCTGTATCTGTGAGGGATATATCAGAGTATATTATTTATGACATTTTCTGTAAAACAGAGCACAATTGCATTCCTGTGGTCTGTCAAAAAATCAGTCTTATGTATAACAAAATTATGTCTTGAAAAACTGTATATCACTTCTGTACAATAAATAAATAAACTGCTTTACAGTATACCCAGTTAGCTTGTCTTTTTGATTTTTCAAATAATATTTAGATCATCTAAAGGGCAGAACTCATTTCAAGTAAAAGCAAGGTTTTTGACCAAGTTAAATGAGTAAAACATGGTTATGACCAAGGCTTTCTGCTTACTTTCATGAATTATTGGTATGCATTAGAAACTGTATACACCTGCTCCAGAATTTTAAATTTATTGTAGGTGCAAATGCAATTCCTACTGAACAGTTGACAGCTTCACAAGAGGGCACTTTGCAGAGGCAATCAAAGGACAAAAAGCAAACAACAATCCAAAGTTCATGATGGATAACACCAGATGTGTCTGAATCTGTCTCTTAAGGAACTGCTGGTCCTTGCTGCACATTGATAATTTCATTGTCAGTGCCATTATGTCAGTCAGTTTCACAGCATGTAATAGTATTGACCCAGAAAAAGTGCTGTCCACTGATGGGGGACACAGAGATATTCACACTGCTCTTGCTCACACTCAGATTGACTGGGGGACAGAATTTTACTTGCTAGTTTCTGCATTAATTAGGCTTTCTTTTCTTTTTTTTTTCTCATACAAAGCTTAGGAATTACAAAGATTTTGGACATATAAATTGCATTTATATTTTACTGGATTTAATTACGCCTGTAGCGTAGTAACTGATAAACTAAGTACTAGTCTAGGTCATACTCCCTGGCAGTAATCTTTCAATAGTACATTCTCAGAGAGGGAAACAGGAGACAGAAGATAAGGAAATCAGCTCAGGAGAAAAGGAAGCCAGGCCACAGTATACTTAATGAAGACAATAAGGTCATAGGGCCAAGCAAAAAAATGTGGAGGAAAGAAAAAGTAGGCATTAACATATGTGCAGTGTGAAGAAAGGATATGCAGGAGAAGAAAACCTAATCCAGCCCTAATGACTGCTTTTAATGTTTTTCAAATGGAAAACAAAAAAATCCATACTCATCTTGCTTTAGATGAATGAGATAGACATGCTTAAGATAATGCTTTTAGAAATGCTTTAGATAAAGAGATGAGCGTATTTATTTGTCTTCCAGCCTTAGTTTACCACATCACCCATTGCTGTAGTTGACACATGGATGACATAGCTCTAGGATAGGATATATCCTCTCCATTAACATGCAGTTGCTAACATGAAAATGTGAGAGAATAGATTCCTTCGCAACTCCTTTCTGTATTTCAGAAGACAATGTTGTCTTTCTTAGAATGCAAAGATTTTAAGATAAGTTTAAAAGTGTTCTGGTCCCCAACTTGCTGCACTGCTAATTCTAAAGCAGTTTAACACCACTGTGGGAATCACATGCTCCACCATTCAGGTTAAGACAGTGAAAAGGACAAAGCTGGTTTTGCAGAGCTCTGTAAATATACCAATCAGAACTGAAACAGATGCAGAGAGCAGTTTTCTGGGACAGTGCTTTTACAGTTATTGACATACCTGCACTGACTCTGTCGCTAAGGCAGGCTAAAATGGGAGTCCAGGGCCATGGGCAGGGTGTGGGGGAACCTCCAAGGGAGGCAGGATTTCCCTCAGGGCCCTCATAGAAGTAACAGACTAAATATAAAGAAGTAACTATATATCAAACTCTCCACTAAAATTTTCCTAGGTAACAAAGAAACATACATTGTTTGAGTTTCTATCAAACATACACCACACACAGCATAAAAATTCTACTATAAGTTGCTTTCAGGGAGAAAATATCTAAGCATTTAGCAGTGTGTTGTACCACAGAAGTCAAAGCATACACTGGGCTGATTAGAGCAAAACCACTCGCAGCTTTGGGCTGACAAAAAGCATGCCTGTCACTGTGGGATAACTATTTCACAACTGAGAGGAATTTGTCTTAACTTGTTTTGCTCATTTTGGTTTAAAGACAATGTTCATTGTCACAGAAACAGAAGAATTGTTTCTACAGTCTGCAAGCAAACAAGCCTCAGGGAAAGAGGCAGAGGAGTTGGGCTCACACAGCATGAGAAGGCAGCTCCCTGTGTTATGAAGCTCACTGAAGGACAGCAAGGCAAGTCTGATGGCTCCAAAAGAATGGGAGCTGTTCTAGTCAGTGCCTTATAAGGCAACTGCTCTGCTGAGTTAGGAACCACAGCCCTCTCCTTCTTGTTAAATGTGAACACTCTTTTTTCCTAAAGACTACTCAGCTCATTAGAAAATCTGTAAGGGCATGAACCACTGAGCAGCAGTAAATAAGTAAATAAACAGTGTTCTGTAAAATGTGAAACTCTCTGTCTCTCCTTTGTCTTCCTGAGCAGCTATTCCTCAGGATCCGACACCTTCTCTGAAAGGCCTTTTCATTCATAAATTTTCCATCCTTAAATCAGGTAGCCTCCCTGACCCCCCCTCAAAGCTTCCCATGGTGATTCTTGGTCATCAACCTACATAAAAAATATGGACTTTTAAAATGGTTTGCCTGTAGCTGTAGTTAATATTTTGTCTATTCTTATTTGAATAATTAATCTTAAGGCCTAACAAACTTTCACTGATGGCTTTCTGCAAGGCACAAAAAATTTCTCCTGGCACTCCCAGCCTACTTCAGTAAAGGTGAAGTTGTAAAATACACACTTAATGCTCAGAATACAAATTGGAGTTTGTAATGTAATAAGAGATTAGATTCAAGCTAGCAAAGAGAATTCACATTTGCAGATCAAGGTTTCCTGAGATGCCATAGGAACTCTGAGGCAAAGTTATGCACTTTTGCCACAAAATCCATAACAAAAATATACTTAAAACCTAAATCCTGTGATTTCACTTCCATAATTTTAATATGAATTATGTATATTCTCTGGGAGTATCTTCACCCTCTTTTCCCTGAAGTCTTTTCTTCTAGGGAAATATGACTGATAAGGGCCATTAGGATTATCATTGTTTAACAGGGATCTGTGCATGTTTGCATAAATAATTAGATCCAGAACACTTCTTCTAAATAAGGACTCTATATCAGCACTGGCAAAATGCTTACACCATGTTTCTAGTGCTTGTGTTCAGTTCTAATTCAAAGTTTTCTTAACTCAGTGGCATCAATTATCATTTCCAGTGACAGAACTTTTCATTCATGTGTTCAAAATAATAATTTTTGCTTGACATTTCAGTTCTAAGCCCCTATCTTTACCCTTCACTCCCCCCACCCCAAGAATTATAATTCAGCATCCCTGATGGGAGAGGTGTGGCTCACAGAGAGCATCTAGTAACATGACATCATGGATGCTGACAAACATGGCCTGTTCAGTGGCTCACTTCATATCATCCACACCATCATGTGGTTTTTTGCTCTGCTTGCAATTTTATCATGTTGTAATGCAATACATCACATGCCACAGGGCATTTCAGGGTAATGTGGCTTGTTTGGATGAAATATATGTTTCTGAAGAGAGCTGGAACT